GGGACTTGAAAGACGTCAGAGATCATGTAAATCTCAAATCCCGATACATTTTGACCCACAAGTTATTCCTCTTGGGACTTTTTCGTCGTCTATCTCTATGTTTGCTCTTGTTTGCTTATCACATAGTCAATAATAGTTTTTAGTTTACGGGTATTCTGTATTCATGAGTAGCGGTGAATATCTTTCTGTTTGAAAAATTCGTTGTTTATTCTAAGATTGCGGGTCTCGTAGAGATGTATGAGCCTTTGGCCATTATCATTGATTATTTCTTTTCCAAACGGTCCTACAACTGGGCGTCCTTTCCGTTCTTTCATTACGATTTCTCTACTTCTTCCAATATCCACTAGGATTTCATCCAATTTGTCAGAGAACTCCTGCTTAATGCCGACTCTTTCGTCCTCTGATGCAGCGTAGGCTGCTATAATGGTGATGTTATAGCCATGTAGTTTCAAGTTGTCTGTTGGGATATTTTAATCCACAGCTTCCCAGTTGTTAATTTTATTTTTCCAGTTTTTCTTCATCAGTATGGCTAGCTGCTCTCATTTCCTTCGACACTCCAGTAAAAAGGTGAATATGTAACGTTTTTGGTGCCACTTCCTTTTTTCTTGGTTTCGGTCAGTGAAACTTAAACGATGTTCAATTTCTGCAAGGATATTCGAAATGGCTAACAATAAAGAATCGACAAGATCTTGACGTTTATGAAGATACAAAAAGACAACTGAGAACGTGCATCACTATAGCTAAGAACGTGTCATGGGATAAGAAATGTAAAGAAACTAACACCTACATAGGAGGAAAGAAATGCTCAGAGGTATGGAGATTTATATTAAATGTCAAAAACCCAGGGAAAGACAGAGCTAATATTCAGGTAAGCAAACCAGAGCAATGGATAGAACACTACCCTTGTAGACTTGTAGACCTTGTCTATCACAAGAAAGTAGACCGGAATATATATTAGATTCTTCAAGAGATATTGAAGTACATGGAAAAGTGGTTGAGATATCTGAAGAAACAGTAAAAAAGACTGTTAAGAATATTAAGTCAGGTAAAGCTAGTGACCCAGAAGGTTTATACTCCAAATGCTGAAATGGGGAACTGAGAAGCTCTATAAAAGTCTCACATGTATAATCAATAAATGCCCAAATGGACATCCTGTTCAACAAGACTGGATAGTACATGTATACATGGTGTACTTTTATATCATCCATTCACAAAAAAAAGAAAATAAGCTGGACTGCAATAACTATCGGGGTATATGTCACAAGGACATCAAGTAGACTATACGGTATTATCCTGCGTGATCTCATTGAAGCAGATTATAAAGAGAAAAAAGAAGAAGGGCAATGCGGCTTTAGAACAGGAAGATCAGCATCGGGATCACGAGGTTCGATTCGATTATATCGGGTCAAACGATAAGCGACTCGAGTGGATCGTTCACGAAACTCGATCGAGTTGGAAATCAAGTTTATTCGATTGTTGCTAACGTTACGTACTTCGAAAATGGAAAGCGATGTCGCTTTTCAGTTTTTTGGTTATGTAAATATAAGTCTTGTGTTTTGTAATTCAAATTTCAACAATAAACTTGGACTACACCAAAATTATACTCTTCACCAATGCATCTCTGATAAGAGCCATGATCTCTCAGCCAGTGGCATAAAACCTTGAAGTACATAGCACCATGTTTTCTAGATAACTGCCCTAGCAAGTATTCGCTCTGCACATGTGGTCGTATCAACTGCATAAGTTCTGTAGTTGTCGTTAATTAAGACGAAATAACTCTACAAAACTTGCCTCTGGAAGAGAAAAAGGTTCCTGCTTTTACCCACAAGTTTGTCTTCGTCCTACAAGCTCAAGATTCTGGCAACGTCTATTTCTTTGTCTTTGCAGAATAGCGTGGATAACGTAACATTTTTATTTTAATGAGAATTTTACGATATATTGAAAAAATAGATGAAATTTAACCTAATTCGAGACCTCCGAACCTGTCGAGGCATTTCGATCGAAATATATCGATCAGTAGAAAGTCATGAACAAGTCCTTTCGATTTTCGATCAAAAATGACAAACCTTAAACGAATATCGAGCTTCGTGATCCCGCAGCAGGTACAGACAACGTATTTTGCCTAAAATAAGTCATAGGAAAAAGATCTGCTAGACAATTGGAAACTTACCTCATATTTGTCGACCTACGAAAAGCATACAATACAGTATCAGTATCCAGACTATGGAAGGTTTTGGAAAAATCCAACATCAATATCACCTATATAACGGCACTTAAATAACTATATAAAGATTCAAAATCAAAAATTAAGACAGCTAAAAAACTCACACAGTCACATTTATAGTGAATAAAGGACTACGTCAGGGATGTTCCTACGCTCTCCAAAATATAAGTAGCAGTAGCACTAACAAATTGGAAGAAGATACTAGTCTAGGAGGCAGTGACGATTTTCGGTACCTACTTATTTTCCCAGTCAGAAAACATGGATAGAATTGTAGGGTTAGTAATTCTAAGCAAAATACATATATTTTTAGGGGGGGTTTTCCGATGGGTTGAGGCGCAAAATGCGTTAAAGCCTACCAATGCACGGCCCTTTTTTTTTCTCAGTGATAAAAATAGGTCTACTAATGAGAAGTATACTGAAGTTACGTAAAAAAATAGGCCGGATCAGAAAATTTTCAGCCAGACTCACTTCCACTATCTGAGATAAGCCAAATTGCTATTTTCATATACTTTATGTTCTATTATAGTAAATGTGGAATATTTATGTCTGGGAAAATAAGCGTACCTACTTGTATTTTTCATTGATCTTGTGAACCCATCCGAAAATTTTAGCCAGACTCAAAAACTCTTGCTTTGTATCACTAGAACAAACTATTTAATAGACACCAACTGAGAAAATAAGTGCCAAAAAATTTCACTGCCTCCTGGACTATACATGGAATGGGTATAGAGATAAATGATAGGTGCCTGTTTACTCTTCAGTTTGCAGATGATCAGGTGATAGTGGCCAGTGACAAAGAGGACATGCAATACACGATTAGAAATGTTCCAAGAATGGGGCCTTAGAGGTAATATAAATAAAACAAAATATCTATGTTCAGGCACCCAGAACGGAAACTTGGAAGTGGACGATGGTCAGGAAATTTTGCATTGTCAGGAATCTGAGTATCTAGGTATCACATTCTACAATACCGGAACACATGTGAAAGAAACAGAAAAGCGAATAGTGAAAGCTAAAAAAGTAATAGGATGCCTAAATGGAATCTTATGGAGCAAGGAAATAACAAAGAATTCAATACATCCGAGACAATAATAAAGAGCAGCCTTCTATATGGAGCCGAGACTTGTAGAATTACAGACGAAAGAAGAAAATAGAAGCAGTTGAAATGGATGCTATTAGAAGATCCATGCGAATCTCACGAAGAGAGAAAATAAGGAACGACCATATAAAACAAATGAGAATAGAACGCACGATAGTTCAGGAGTCAGGACATTGAAAGGAAACAACTTACGTGGTACGGATACGTAGAATGAATGCCAAATACCAGGTGCCCAGAAAAATACTTCAACCAACAGGTAAAAGAAAACGAGGAAGACTAAAACTGGAATGGTAGAAGACCATAAAAAATCTCGCATTAGAAGATTGCGACTATAGAAGAGGATGGAAATTAGGTGTTGGACAACCAAGAAAGACGTTCTTTGTAAAAATTACCTGATACAAGAAAATATTGTATAATATTGTGTAATGTCATGCCATCAAATAAATCCTACTGGAAAAAATCTCCAGCGATACCAACCGATAAAATCTAAAGCAGTTAGCACTCAAATTTGCAATAAGTATTATGGTTCGTTAAGTTGAACATCAAAATTACAACTTGCGAATAACATATGTAATTAAATTTTGATTGCTCCTACTTTTACCACAAAATTTGTATACTATAAAAAATATTATATTAGGTAGAAAATCACGAAACAATAATTAGTACATTAGTATATTTTTTCCAAGAAGCAATTATGATAAAATATAATGCGGTTTTAATAAACGCTTTCAATTGTTGCTATGTATACTGCTTGCCTCGTGCCATCGTATTTATCTGACAGCTCTTTTTGAAAATACAGTGATTTTGTCAGTGTCAGGAATCACTGGAATATGTCATTTATCGGTATTTATTTGGAAAGGGTCTCATCGACATCTAGTGAGGTTTTACGAATTTTGAAGGCTTTATCATCTTGATATTTGGAGAATAATTTCAGGTATTTTGCTGAAGTTATAGAGTCCATGTAGGTTCCATTACTATTGTCTGGTACTTCTATTTGTAGCAAATCATAAGAAACGTCTAATACTTTTTGAACATAAAAAAGTTTCAATAGGGCCATAGTTCTATTATCGATGGCCAGTACCTTCCTAAATACATTCTGTCCACCATGAATTTTTCCTAAACTTGGATTTTCTCTTTGAAAGGCCTTCCAAAAACGTGGTAATTAAATAAAATAGAGTAGAGAGAAAAGTTCAACTTATAGACCGCTTGAAGATAATAGCTATTTACCTAACAAGCGCGGAAAATGAATTTTTCCGCACGCGGCTGCCGCTCACCGAACGACGTGTAGCGGAGTTCGGTGAAGCAGCCGAGTGCGGAAAAATATTTTCCGCAAGTGTTAGGTACAATATTTTTCCCACAAGCGTAAAAATGTAGAATTTTTCTTTTTTTTTTGACAGCCGTGCGGTAAAATTTTTTCCGCACTGACAGCCGTGCGGAAAAACTTTTTCCGCACTCATATGCGTGCGGTAAAAGTTTTACCGCACCGTGCGGGAAAACTCATTTTCCGCACGCATATCAGTGCGGAAAATCGATTTTTCTGCACGGCTGTAGGAAAAATTGTTTACATCCCTCCGAGGGCAAATGCTTTTCCTCCAATGGTATACAAATAGCAATACTTTTCTAACAATTAACAATGTTAGACCAATTTTATCATTTGTTAATTTGAAGTTTTCTTACCAAGCCAACTGCTTTGTTCCATTGTTATGTCAAATTCTCCTAAGGCTTGAAGCTGTGGTATCCAAATCGCACTATATCCTTGCGTAATACCAATGGATATTGATACTGAGTGAGCAAAAAAGGCAGCTAAAAACTGGAAAAAAAAAATAGTATTATTATTTATGTTATCTATTGTCCTTATTAGCCGATAATAACCTCAGATTGTGCCACACAAAAACAATATCATATTGACATTGACATAATCTAAGTAACCTATTTGTTAACTAACAAGGACTCAACAAACCATTAATCTAGTCGCACTTATGGGGATAATTATTGGAAGCAATAACACAAGGGCATCAAAATTACCGATAATTTTTCATGAAAGCGTGTGGTCTGAAAACTGGATTAGTTTATTTTCATGTTAAACAAAATATGAAAATAACTGAATGCAGGTTTTTACTGATAACATGCTTGAATGAGAAATTGTCGTAGGTATTACCATAAGAGCTCAGGATTTAGCAGGATATTTTTCATTCCTTTGCTATCGAACAGATCGAGAAAAATTTCCTGAAAGTAAGCAAAAAATATTCTGAATCTGAGCTCGAATGGTATTTAGAACAAAAATTCCACGAATGCAAAATCAATATAGAAACTTTACTTTCTTGAAAATGTTCATGAAACTGGCAATGCATATATTTGAGAGGAAATGGTTTTTTTTTTCACAAAAATAAAAAAATATTATCGGAATTATATTACCTATTGCACTTCCTGTATTTAAGCATTTTGATTTAAAATTTAACTATATAATTACATATTTTGTGTACATACTTTAGCAATGATTGTTGCACATTTGATTGCCCTTTGCCAAACAATAATCATAGGTTATTAATTACGTTAAAAAAAATTATGTATTTCCTTTTCGGTAATCTTATATAGGTAAAAAAAATACTATTGTGTGATTGTAATTTATACTATGGGTACCTATACAACAATTAATTTTAATAATTAAATATACAAGATAGTGGTATGCGGTTACACAGTTTCCTATTATTAATATGATTTTTTGTGGTCAAAATGCAATAGAAAAAAATTCCAAATTGGAGGACCATGAAAGCTGGAATATCTGCCTGGGGAGTTAACTGACAGGTTTCGACTCGGGTTTAGAATAAGAATAAAGTTTTACAAAAGTTTCCAAACTTGAGCCTCTCATTTCTTCACTGATATATAGGATATCTTAATTGAAAGTAAATAGAAATCGACACAAGGTAGACATATCCTTGTATATGTCCAAAGCAATATTGTCTTGAGCAGAGTCAGTGATAATCTTGCCATTTCATCAAACATATTTAAGAGAATTCTCTTAATCTAAAACTATCGAATTTGACGATTGCGCGATTAGTGATTGCCTTACTTCAAGGATTCGTCTTTGATTCAAAATCAGGTATGAGCTTGGATCAAAAATCAATATTCTTGATTTAAGGAATGCAGATTTTCGGTGAAAGCCTTTTTTTTTGCTCAAAATAATGGATTCCTTGGTTTAAGAACCTGTTAATTTGGAGCAAGTAACTTTATCCGAAGGGATAGGTTATAACTGATTTCTAGGACAACTATTACATAACAGGGAAAATTTCTTTGGATTAGAAAACAATGTTGTCTGAAAGAAACATAATATATTTAATGATATAACTACATATATTTAAAAACATAGCATAGAAAATAGTATAAAAATACCTACATATTGTGACTTTACTATATAATTAACAGAAAAGAAACTTGAATTTTCAGAACAATTCATGGGTTAATTCATCCATGCATAAAAAAATAACAGTCTTAAACCTTACCTATCTACTAAGGAAGGGCCAAATTATATTATGGACCAACTGGTAAAGGTTCTGGTTCGTTATGTTACCAAGCAGGTAAATTCTGTGAATAGAATTCACCTGCTTGGTAACAAGTAGGATCTCTACTAGTTGGTCCATAATTTGGCCCCAAATAAAACAGGTTAAAGATAATATTATATCATTATCCCATACCATAACCGAGGGCTGAATAACGGATTGCCAGTTTTCCGACTTTATTCGCGCAAACCACAACTCGCGGATCCAATAAGTGACAATGAAACAGAAAACACAATACATGGAGAAATGAAAAGATGCACTAATGTACCCGCGTACGGTCAAAGTAGCGCGGCTAGGAGCAGCGTCGCGCGCAGAATTATTATTTATCTCTCAAAAGGAAGACACAGAGGTAGGGTTGCCAGATTTTGAAAGCGGGAGGTAGTGCAAGGAAGGGAAAAATAATGATGTTTCGCCGCTGACACAAATTTTTTTTTGGGGTGCCACGCCCTAATTGTGCCACATTTTATCATCTATTATAATACCACAAGAGAAAGAGTATGTTTCCTAACTAGTGCGGAAAAGTGGCACTACCCGCATGAACTAAAAACACTATTTTTCCTACGAGATAAAAGTTAATATTTGTACTTATATAAACCCATCAATTTTGGTTATTTTGACTTTTCCGCACTTAAGTCGTGTGGAAAAGTAATGTTTTGATGACCTGAAATACGTGGTAAAAAGTGGGGTTTCACGCACGCTCGTAGAAAAAAATTCTATCGGCAAAATTTTCGGCTGGTATGAAAGTTTGTTGCTTGGCAATTTCGCGAATCACCTTGGCGCACTAATTCTCCAATAGAAACATAAATAAAGTAGAGTGTAGTGGAGAGTGCAGCTCAAAGACACAGCAGAGAATCTCAAAGCTCAAACTCTCTATAGAATCTTATAGTCGATGTCACAATCAGACGCCCGATCCAGTTAGATACGCTCTCAGGCTTAAGTAGTTATATCTTCGTTTGAAGTTTGAAATAGAAAAGGATGCAACTAATATTACGACAGCGCGCCCGCCGCCAACGTTAATCGTAATGCGCTCCGGATGCGCTATGTAGCCGGATTTATAATGAACCATTAAAATAATGGTAAAAATAAATAAAGACACCTAATTTATAGTTATTTACATTCCAAGCTGCGAAAGCGTACTTTTAGGTGCGAGGTGTATTCAAATAGCCGAGGCGAAGCAAAGCGCAGCCAAGGCTATTTGAATACCTCCGAGCGCTTAAAAGGGCTTTGTAGCGTGTAATGTATTAAACTTTTCATTCTTCCCCTCCAAAAATCGTGAATAGGCATGCGAAAGTGAAACATGCTAGTAGCGAAAGCGAAAGTGAAAGTAACTACTAGCATGTTTCACTTTCGCTTTCGCTCGCCTATGCAAGATAAAAAAATCTACTTTCGTTGGGGGGAGAATGAAATAGTTATTTATGCACCTAGGTCAAAAAGTACAGCTTTAACGGCCACAGCGTGTGTAACAGCCTGAGGCGTTAAATAAACATTAATGAAAAATGCAATAAAAAATAAGCCATCCACCCTTTGGAGATATTACTCAATGTCGAAGGCAATTTTAATTTGAAAGTAGATTGAATTTTATTATTATTGCTTATTCCATTATTCTTATTAATTGAAATAAAGCTTGATTTGTTGAACAAAGTTGATATTTTTTGGACTAAGCAATAGAAATGCAAAAGGTTCAAAGAATTGAGTCGAATTCTTGCTTATTTTTGAAATTTCAGAACTTTCAGGCCCGCGGGCATGAAAGGCGCCCTAGGGCGTAAAAGTACTACTTCACGCTATAAAATGCGGGCGTAAGAGTGCACTTTTACGCCCGTTCGTGCATAATAGTTATTTATGTATCAAGGGTACTAAATAGAGGATTATGCCCTGAGGGCGGCAGTCTTACAAAGCCGAGGGCCTCTGGCCCGAGGGTTCGTAAGTCGCCCGAGGGTATATATCTATTAGTACCCGTGGTGCATACAAACTTTTATGTCATACCAGTTGGTTTTGAATAATAAATATATATTTTTGTTAATAAAGAATAAGTTAATCGAAAACTGTTTTTTGCGTCTTATTGCCGCGCGGGCCAGAATGTTTACTTTATGCCCGCGCGGGCCATAATGTGCACTTTATGCCCGCACGGGCATAAAGTAATGAATTATGTAGATGGTATCTAAGGTATAAAAACACAATAATGTACTGGTATGACATAAAAATTATTATTTCATGTAATTTCTATTTTAGGGAAAAGCGGGAGTTTTGTCCAAGTGCGCGGGAGGCGGGAGGTTTAGTAAAAAAGCGGGAGACTCCCGCCTAAATCGGGAGGGTTGGCAACCCTAGACACAGGAATCTTTGAATGAAAGTATTTATCTTGGTTTAAGATCACTAGTTTAATGTGTAATACATTTAAGCAAATAATCCTCTGTACAAGACGTTTGACTACCAAGAGAATCTGCGTGATTAATCAAATACTTCAAATATCTAACTTCAAGGCTCTATTATTTTAAGAAGAGAAAATTTCCTTCATTCAAAGAAATTTAGATTCAAGATAATGTGTTGCTTCTCTCTAGGAGTTCATTTTTATCAGTGTTTTATAGGTTGGTTCTCATAAGAGTTGGAAACAGTCAGGAGTCTGCGCAATCGATTCGCCTGTGACAAGTTTCTGATTTCTTGGAAATACTCAGAATTCCCATGCTAGGTCATGTTAATATTTGTATCAACTAATAACACAGATTATACTATTAATTAATATATATATTGACAATAGAGAGTTATTGGAAGTGAAATAAGGTCCAGCAGTAATAATGCAAACGCTATATTGGCATCTGCACTTGTGCAGTTGCACCGTTGAATAAGGCTAGTTTTATTAACGTTTGTGCTAGACTTTATAACTGCACGAATAAAGTCACGCACTAATAATATAATTTGCCCTTATTTTGACGGATTTTTGAAATTTGTCAGCAAAGCAAAGCTGGCAGTAAGTAAAGTAAGTTTAAAAATAGAATTAAGGAACAGCCGTATCTTGACGTGTTCGTGATCGTGAACATAACTGTTTTTTCTCAGCCGTGTTTAGGTTAAGCGCCTTATTACTGTTAGCTTTATTTTGAAATCCCCAATAACTATCTAATATTTTTACCTAGGAATTAATGCTGTATTTGAAAAATAAACATAGGTGAATATTAAAATGTCTCTTGTAATAGTAATGTAATGTTCTTTGAATTTTCTAGTTAGCCTAGTGTCTACGTCATAGTCAAAGGGTATTAACGAA